GGAGAGGCAGACACCAGGCTGTCAGGGACAGATGACATCATCAGGTGCACAGATTACACAAAAGAATCCGCAGATACGTTATTAGGACTCACAGTGAGTTTAGCAAGGTAACTGGATATAATGTTATTACATCAAACTCAGCTGAGTGTCTATACATTTGGGTTGAACCCTATGAGACTGCTATTGTGACAGGTTAGGCTGTCACATACTGACTACTCACACGGTTCAAAACAATACTAAAAATGAAGACTTACAACCCGCAATACTGAAAAATACAATACCACTGTCATCATCATCAGAAACATCAAATACCTAGAAATCTAACACAAAGATGTAAATCGTTCTACATGGAAACTAATAAAACATCATTGGGAGAGAGAAGTTCAGCTGACCTAAGTAAAATTAAATACATAAAAATAAAGACGGCCGATCTTGATTTTCAGTACGAATACAGACCGTGAAAGCGGGGCCTCGTATAAATAAAAATAAAGAAAGAAAAGAAAGAAAAGAAAGAAAAGAAAAGAAAGAAAGAAAGAAAGAAAGAAAGAAAGACAGACAGACGGCCTGAATAAAAATACGGCTTTCCCGTGTACTTGATGCTATAAAAATACGGATTCTCTCTAACCTGATCCACAGATTCAGTGCAATCCCGATCAAAATCCCAACAGGACGTTTTGTGGAATGTGAAAGGCTGATTCTAAAGTCGATGCACAGATGCAAATTACCAAGAAGAGCCAGGGCAGGGCTGGAGAACAGAGGTGGGGAAGTTGTTCCACCATATACCGAAAATCTCCTGGAGTCGAGACCGCATGGCACCCACACAGACCAGACAAAACGACAACGAACGGAAAGGAATATGAAGTCCGGATCACAGCCAGGCACCTATGGACCTTAGATTTACCCCAAAGATGGCAGGCAAATCAGCAGGGAAAGGACAATTTGTTCGATAAAAGGCGTTGGTTCAACGCATATCCATGTGGCCTCTTGCAACATGACCGCTGCCTCCGCCACAAACAAAAGGTAGGCAGACAGCGGATCTAAACGTGAAAGGCAAAACAGTAATGATCCTAGAGAGTAACGCAGGATGTCTTTGAGACTTCAGTGGAGACTTCAGTGAACACAAGGCAGGACATAAAGAGAAAAGATGGACCCACGTGAGGACTTTAAAATTAGGGACACCTCTTTAGCGGGGCACCTGGGTGGCTCTGTTGCTTGAGCAGAGACTATTGGTTTTGGCTCAGGTCCTGATCTCATGGTTCTTGGGATGGAGCCCCACGTCGGGATCTATACTGACAGCATAGAGCCTGCTTCGGATTGTCTGTCTCCCACTCTCTGTGCCCCTCCCCCGTGCTCTCTCTCAAAATAAATTAATGCACTTAAAAAATTTTTTCAATTAAAACTGAACAAACCCTAGAGATATGAAAACAAAGACTTGTTTATCACTGTTAACTGTAGCCAAAAGCGGAAACAACCCAAACCCAAACACTACTGGATATACACGGTGTATACACCCATACAACAGAAGGCTGGTCAGCGATAAACAGGAGGGAACTGAGGACCCCAATCCGTCACCACAGGAACCAGGAGGGCGTCATATCCACACCTGCTCCTTTGCCAGGGCCTCGGTGTCTGGCACACAGCAGGCACTAAGCTGTCAAATGAATGACTTCTTCCTTTATCCCCTCTGGCCCTCGAAGCCTGCAGCCCCAAGGGACCTAGAGACCCTCTTCTCCCTGGACCAGGAGAGACCCACCTGCCCAGGGGAAGGCCACACACAGGTCGCCTGCCAGTGAGACGCCGTTGCCCTGGGAAACAACCCAAAGCTTCTCGAGAAATTACCTGGATCTGGACTGGGCTTCCTCACAGAGGAGGGAGAGCCGGGGGCCCCCGTCATTTTGGAATCATCTTCGGGGGTGATGGCAGTGCCCCCTCCAAGGAGCGTGGTCCCGGCACCGGAGCTCACTGAGGAGGTCACCAGGGGCCCGGCCTGGGCGCTGGTGTCGCTGAGAAAGAAGCCGGAAAGGGCACTGCCAACCCTCCTGATGACGCAGGGAGGTCTGTGCTCAGGGGTAACCGCTTCCACAGCAAAGGGGTTCCCAGCCCCTCAGCCCACAGCCTCTGGCAGCCCCACCGTCCGCTCCTGGGAGCCACGGCTGTGCCGTCTAGACCTTCTCTCGTGCGCTCGGGCAACACTCGGCACACGGTGGGGGTCATGCGACTGCTGGGTTGACAGAGAGGCACCCTGGAGTCCTGATACCCTGGGCCAAACCCCACCCACACCACAGCCCAGCTGGGCTCTGGGCGTCCTGGGGGCTGGGACAGCCCCATGCCACATTCAGCTGGAAGGGAGAGGGCCGGGAGTCACCTGGTGGGCGCCTGGCAGTCTTCTGGGCCCGTGCCGAGGTCAGGGCTGGTCACCGGGGAAGGCCGCTCACACACAGTATCCATCTGTGCTGTGCCTGCAGGGGATCACAAGGTGGACAGATGTGCTACCGAGGAGCTTGGAGGCTCTAGGAACAGATCCTTTCCCACCACGACCCACAGTGCGGAATGAGGTGCTTGGAAAATGCAGCGGCCATCTGGTGTTTGTGCCTGCCCAGCACCCCCTCCCCCTCGGGCTAAGGCATCCCGATTCTCCCCGGAACACTCTCCCCAGTCTCAGCATCCGTGCACGGGGCTGAGGCCGACTCACCACCCCACCCTCCCAGGAGTAAACCCAGACGACTTTGGACCAATCGATCCCTTTGATTCCTCTGACCCCGAGGAGCTGGTTCAGCGGTGGGCACGTGACCCCAGCCACGCCCATGAGGTACAATATCATCGTTTCAATTATGGCTGTTGAAACTGCAGGAAGGAGAAACCGTCTTTCTACTGGGTTTGGGTAGGAGGCAAGCTTGGATCCGGGGGAGCAGAGGTGACAAATAGGTAAAGACAGGGCTCCTGGATCCAGCCATGCCTGATACTACCCAGAGCCAGCCCCAGACTTTGCAGTTACATCAGCCAAGAAATCTGAGATTTTGTTACGTGCAACCCAAAGACTCCTGAAGAATCCTGGGTGCAAACACGGTAAAGAGGAAAAACACGTAGCACTTTCCATCAGGTGGATCTGAGTTTGCCTGCCACCTCTAACATGTCCTCACTGTGCCCATCACACTGCGTGATACAGAGTAAACGCCCCATGAACAGCGTGTCCTTTTCCCCTTCTAGACCTCTGTCCCATTGCTTAGAAACAGTCCCACGTGTGCGATTATGATCTGAAGGCTTCAGTGGAGGGGGCCTGAACAATGCTCATGTGTCTCGTATTTCCGAGTGCGCTGGCGTGACGAGGCCTGGGTGTGACATTCAAAGTCTAGCCCAGACATTCCCTGCTCTGTGGTCTTGAGCGATTTACCTGCCATCCCTGGACCTCAATTTCCCCTGTTCTAAAATGGGGATACTTCCGTCTACTTTCTGGAGTTTTGAAAATTTCAGGAGGGAACACCTATGTAAGCTGCCCCATGCGGCTTAGCTACCGGCTGACGCTAAAGCGGAAGCTACTGTCCATCTTGCAGCTGGAGAGTTGCCCTGTGGGAGCGTCCACGTGGGAGCCCAGAAGTCAGCCAGCAGCGCTGTCCCACAGAAATATGATGTGAATCACACACTGCCACTTTAAATTTCCAAGTAACCCCTTTTTAAAAAGTAAAAAGAAAGATAAATTTTTAAAAAAGTAAAAAGAAACACGTGAAATTAATTTAATGTATGTGACCCAATATATCTAAACTACAGAGATAGACAAGCAACATAACGATAATTAATGAGATGTTTTACATTTTTGTACGCCTGCAACTGGCCACCTTTTAAACGCTCCGTGGAGGCATGTGGCCAATGGTACCGCTAGGGGCAGCAGGGGTCGAGGGGCAGCAAAGGGGGGCTCGGGCGCCACCATGCGGCAGTCGCAGGAACACCACCAAAACAGGGCCTCCTTTCTGGAGCGGGTCCACGGGCCCTGGCTGCAACAGAACTCTAAAACGATACTAGCAGAGATGCAATTGTTTCAGAGCTGGAAGGTCCCCCAGGGCCGTCTAGTGGCAACTTTACATTTCCCAGATGGGACACTGAAGCCCAGGATGGGGTGGGAACATGCCCCACGGCTGCAGGCAAACAATACCCCGGGGACCTGGTGCCCAGCCCAGAGCATCTTCCACTCCACCCCCGGCCCTGTTCGCAGGTGGCGCGCTGCCGCAAGCCCCTCAGCACAGCATTTGTGTGACCCGGGGAGAACTGGGCCAGATTTGAGCCCCACCCACCCGCAGCACTGAGCTGTCCGGGGCCCCCACGTCCTTCTGCAGAGAAGATTCTGTGCCTGGCCTTGATCAGGCAATGGGGAGATAGATGACCTCGGCCCTCACGCATCTACCGCCCAGGGAGGGAGGCCAGCGTTGATCGAACCAAGACAGACACCGGTGCTCACATCCGTGTTGGAAAAGGACTCCGTGTGATGAGAGATCACAATGGAGATGTGACCTGTCACAAGTCATGGCGCTTCCTCTTGAGGAAGTGAGGTGTGGACAGAGAGGCCAGGCTGAGCAGGAGGTGACCGAGTGAGCTGGAGGAGAGGATGTGCTGAGGGGACACCACGCACAAACGCCTGGTAGGAGTGAGAAGCACCGCACATCCACGGAGCCGAAAGTGAGCAGACCAGTGGGGCCAAGAAAGGAGGGGGCCGGCGTGACTTTGACCTGGAGGAGGGAGAGGGACACGGCGCAGGGTCGCGTGCAGGGTCACGTCCTGGAGACTGCTCGTGCGAACCTGGACTGGGTGCCCTTTTCCCTAGTTCTCCCACGAAGGACAGCTAAACGACCCGGGCACATGTATAAAACATGCATATACGTGCTTTATACAGATAAAAATATGTATGAAACAAAGAAGGCTCTGAACAGGGGAGAGGAGAGGGTAGCCCTTGGAACCCTAGGAAGGACACAGTGGCAAGTCCCCTGGGGTTTCTCTTTGTTCATAGATCCCGGACGTGGAGCCCGATAAACCAGCAGCCCAGAAATGCCAACGGGAGCAGAATTAAAGAAATCCCTCCAAACACCTGTTCTCTTTTGCCAAAGGATCATGTCATTATCGCTGTAGAAATGAGAAAATACCGAAGTGTTTTTATGGCAGGTGTGTGGGGGTGAGAGAGACAGGCAGAGAGAAATCAGATTTGGTTAAGCAGAGTGGCTCTGCCTGTCAGCCATGGGCAAGGAATGACAGGAGGAAATGGGGATGGGAACGGGAGACAGAATTGGGGAGCAAAATCTGTTGGACTGGGGGTAGGCTGGCTGTGGGGTGAGGGAAGGATGGGCTCTCGGGGGAGAGGGTGGTAAGGCCTGGGCTTTGGAAAAGGACCAGTTGAGGAGAAGGAGCGTCATGGGCTCAGCGTTGGCACTTTTCTCCCTAATGGGCGTAGCTCTCTGATTCCACCCTGCAGCCTCCCAGCCCGTGTGGCTGTGGCACCACTAGTGGGCCATGGTCCAAAGCCCACCCACTCTCCAACCTCCCTCTGAAACGTGCTCTCAATACCACCTGCACCGGATCTGTGGCCCTTACCTCTTTTCTGGCCTCTTTTCTTACCTCTTTTCTGGCCCCTTGTACTGTCACAAAATCAGAAGCTCAGAGAGGGTAAAGCATGTGCCTGACCTCACACAGCAAGTTGGAAAAGAAATCCGAGTTTCTCAGCTCCTCTAACTCCCAATGCCTCGATTGTGAGTTGGGAAAAACAGCCCCCATACCCTGGGAAAGTCCCGGGACAGAAGACTTGAGTTTTGCTCTTGTTTTTCAGGCATCAGAGAACTTCTGCCCCGAGTCTCCACTAACCCAACACTCCTCCAGCCAGGCCTGTGTCTCAGGCCATCAGGGTCTCTCTGAGCCTGGGACCCAAAGTGCAGGGAAGAGGCTGGGGGGCTCTGAGTAAATGGTACACCCACAGCATCTCGAAAGGAGACATGTCAGTCCAACAGGAAGGAGGAAGGAGGAGGTCAGAGGTCATTTGGAGATCTGGGACGGTGGTGGAGGCGGGGTACAGCTTGGCACAGGTCTTGGTGTTGGGCTGAGGGTGGGGATACTTACCCTGGACCTTGACAATCATCCCTTTCGGGCAGACGGTGTGGGGGATGCAGCGGGCACAGGAGTTGGTGGCTGATGTGGCACAGAACGTGCCAGTGCGGCACTCACAGACGCGGGAGGAGTTCCCTGAGCACGGCATCTTCTCCACAAGATCGTCTAAGGGACACAGAGACGGGCATGGGAGGCAGAGGGAGGACCGGGGAAGGGATCCAGGGACCCCTCAGGGACAGCCTGGCACGTGAGACAAGACATCATTCTGGCCTCCCCTCGGGCAGGGAGCCCGCACACCCGGCCCTTCTTTCCAGAGGGTTCCTGCAACGAAGGCAAGATGGCAGGTGGGGCCTATGAGGCAGCCTCCACTCCCCGCTCATATCCCCAGACGTCATTACCATCATATTAAAAACAAATTCATGACCCCATTAAAATGGGCAAAAAAGACACGGAGAAACCTTGAGTGCATATTGCTAAGTGAAAGAAGTCAATCTGAAAAGGCTACACGCTGTGTGATTCCAACTCCACGACGTTCAGGAAAAAACAAACTACAAAGACACTAGAAAGATCAGTGGTTGTCATGGTTAGGGAGGAGAGCCCTAAATCCAATGATCACAGCAGTATTGTTTATAACAGCCAAAAAGTAGATATAACCCAAATGTCCATGAACCGATGAATGGATAAACAAAACGTGGTGTGTCCATACAAAGGAATGTTATTCAGCTGTGAAAAGCAATGACCCAGGGGGTGCCTGCGTGGCTCAGTCAGTTAAGCATCAGACTCTTGATTTTGGCTCAGGTCAGGATCTCACAGGTTTGTGGGATTGGGCACTGAGTCAGCAAAGAGCCTGCTCTGGATTCTCTCTCCCTGTCTCTCTACCCCACCCCTGCTCGCTTTCTCTCTCTCTCTCTCTCTCTCTCTCTCTCTCTCTCTCTCTCAAATAAATGAATGAGCACTAAAATAAGAAAAGAAAAGAAGGAATGACTGGTACTACAACATAATGAACCTTGAAAACACTGCAAAGTGAAAGAAGCCAGCCATGAAAACCTACATATTGCATGATTCCATTTCGATGAAATGCCCAGAGTAGGCAAATCCATAGAGACACAACGTAGATGAGTCACTGTAAGGGCATGGAAGAAGGAGTGAATTGGGAGAGAAGGGGTTTCTTTTGGGGGAGGTGAAAATGCTCTGAAATCAGATAGTGGTGGTGGTGCCACACTGTGAATTAAAAAAAAATAAATAAATACTGTATTGCACACTTTAAAATGGTGAATTTTACCAACTCCTGGCTGGCTCAGTTGGCAGGTCATGTGACTATTTATCTCAGGGTCATGAGGTCAAGACCCATGTTTGGTGTAGAACTTACTTCAGAAACTAATAAATAAGCAAAGAGTGTAATTAAAATGAATTTAAAAGAAAAAAAATGGTGCATTTGATCTCAAGAGAAAAAAAAATCACCGGTATAAGTAATTAACAAATGCACACATCCCTGGAAAGCAACACAGGGCATCCTTGGTCAACCAGCAATGAAGACTTCCTAGAATATGGAAGGCAGATAGGATCGCATGGAAGAAGGAGACCAAAGCCCAGAATATACCCAAGAGGATTACTCTGGGAGCGGCTCTGGGGTGGGGTACTCCAGTCTCCAAGTGGGTGAGGGCAGGGGCAGGCCCCAGGGAGGCCGATGGGGAGTGCCCCAGGGGGTCTGCCCACACTTCTCATCCACTGATGCCACAGACCCAGAAGCCAAGCATCTCCCCCAGGAGACTCTCAGGGGAGGTATCGGGACAGTGCCCTGGCTGGTCATACCTGGGAAGAAGGGAGCCTGCAGACCCAGAAGATCAGCCACTTAACAGAACCCCTCCCAGTGGTCATCAGATAGGATGTGCAGAACTAGAGGTCACCACCCATGAGAGAAAACCAGCACCAAGCAAAAAGACCTCCAAGCTCAAAAAAACTCTTGAGAAAGCAGGTAATAGAAAACAAAAAACAAAGCAACAACAACAAAAACAGAACGAGCTGTTAGAATCAGTACAATTAATATTCTCAGGAATCGGCAGCTATAAAACAGAATCCCCTGGAGCTCAAGGAAGGGCACAAAGGAAACGGAAGCCATAAAAAGAAACCCCCTGGGCACAACGTTGTGTTCACCAATTCAAGTGGGCTCACAGAAAGACTACATTTCCCAGCCTCCCTTGCAGTTTGGTTTGGGTCATATGATGGCATTCTGGCAATGGGACGCGGACAGAAATGATAAGGGCTTCTCCCAGGCCTGGCCCCTAAAACCATCGCAGGAGGCTCTATCATCTCTCTCTTCCTTGCTGTGGTTGCACTGTTGTAGCCCCTAACTCTCGCCTGCACCCCAGAAGCAGTACTGAGGACAGAATAAAATCCTGAGAATTGTAGAAAATCTAAGAGAGAGGCAGGCCGGCTGAGGACAAACAGTGGACACCCCTGTTAAATTCATGTAAAACCGTGGGTGGCTTGGTTGATTTTGATCTCAGCTCAGGTCCTGGTCTCAGGATCATGAGCTCAAGCCCCGCACTGGGCTCTGCGCTTGGCGTAAAGCCTACTTAAAAAAAAAGGTTTTAAACCCCAGAGTAGTAGCCAAACATAATTATCACAAGCCTGAACA